TCCGAAAAATTTCAGTACATGAAATTCGCTGATTCAAAAAAATTCTGAATAAAGGTAATAAATTATCGTTGTCGAATTTAGGATCTAATAATTTTATGAACAACTGTTAAATTAACTTTCAACTACAATTTATTAAGTTATTCAACTAAACTATAATAACTATTACAAATGTTAAAAACTGAATAAATTTATGTTCAATATATAAAGAATATCACATCAAAAGTACCTTCAAAGATTTAAAAAATTATCACCACATAATTTTCCTGTAATATTAAAATTTGTACCGCGGTAGAATCGCAGTAATAAATTATAATCAAAATGTGTATTTAATCGAAATTTACTTAAATACTTAAGGACCACGAAAACTCAGCACAAGATGGATATACTCTTTTTATGTCACATCTCAGGTATTGTTGGCTTCAAGGGTTTCGCCGTATAAAATACACATAGAGAATTATGTGATAAAACTTACTGTGACATATAAGTGACATTAAAAAATCTTTGCTATAAATGTTTTCAAAAACTAACCGGTGAAAAAAATTTACATGCTATAACATATTATTTATGAAAGAGCTTATGTTTAAAATTTTATGCAATTCTTATACATTTCTGATTCTCCCTACAATCTCCTTAATATTGCAAGAAAACCATGTCATATTTTTGAATTGTCGAGCATTTTTAATGTTCTCTCAAATACGTTACTAAACAATATATTTTTGATATAATCAACGGTGAATTATTATAATTTATTACTCAAATAACATTAAATAAAAGACAGATAAATCCTTTGTTTTGATCTTAAATACGAGCTTTTGTTTCTATTATACATTTTCCAATTTCCAGTCTCGTTGAAAGTTTCCTCACCGAAATGTGCAATGCGCTTCAACCGGATATAAGAGGATGACGGAAGTTGAGTGAAACATCTCCGCGTGGAATTTCTGTCCTGTGCGCGCCGAGCCACTTGACAATTCACTTAGCAAAGTCTTTCTCGGCGTTTATCTTCGCGCAGTTATTATACAGTGCGCGACAGCATAAAAATGGTTAAATTCGCGTTACGGCTTTGCTCTACAACTGTTTAACAAACTTGCCGAGCATCATGTCGTCACGTTTGGCCGAAGTGCATTCGTACCGAACGGCGAACTGAATAAATACGTAAAACTTTACAGTTTGATCGCGAATGCGAACTTTCGCCCTTTTCTCCTAACCTCGGCTTATCCGCTCCAACTGGCTAAAACATCCGCGTGATGAAGCAAGAGGAGGAACGTGCGGTTGTGGCAACTGCGAAAAATCCCACGAGACGAATATAAATTCGATCTATACGTTGTACCGAGAATGCAAGAATAAAATTGTGGTAAATCGATAAAATCAAAAGACTCCTATAAGAACGAAATTACCTGTCGAAATTAAGCAGATTTTTGCATTTAAATATTTTATATCAACATTTTATATACATATATATTTTCTACACTGAACATTATAATTTATTCGACGAAAACGTGAATTATTTTTCATGGGAATGTATGAGAGAAATAATAAGAGGATGAAAGACTTTGGTGATGTTTATGTCCGAAAAGACTTGGATAAAAATAAATTAATTTCCGTGAGATTAGTTTGAATTTGAATATGAGAAAAAAATGTGTTATTTTTAGTAAATGGATATTTTATACTTTGACAAATTGAAAAATACATTCTTACATTAATTTATGATTAATCAGCAGCGTCGTTTATATATATAAAATGATATATTTCAACTAAAAAAAAATTATTTGTTCTAATTAAAATATTAATGTCTCTGTAGAATTCTTGAAAAACGCAGAACAATTAAAAATATAGAAACATAATTAAAGATAATTTACGAGCTTTTTCTGCGAAATAAAATGACTAGATATTATTAAATAAAACATATAATTTTATAAACATTCGTAATTTAAACTGTAATTTTAAGTTTATTACTTTTTTATTCATTGTTTAAATTTTGCAATTAGATTTATATATCTATACAAATTCGTAATTTCAGTTGCATTATGTGTACATGTAAAGTGCAGAGCTGCCTTCCGGCTCGATTGGTATTACATTACGTAGATACTGGATACAAATCACGAATCAACTAAAATTGCAAATTTGTCCAGGTTTCCAATTCTCGCCGTGGGTGTATTACTTCGCGGCGCATGCAAACGTGTTCCTCCGCTTCAACAATTTCTACAACGCAAGCATTCTATTTTGGTTTCGGAATTAACGCTTTCCGGCTGACATGAGCTCTTGAGATCCATAATTTTCATTCGTACATGCCCATTTTATTCGTGTCTCCGTTTTACAAACATTATGACAATTAAAACAAAGTAATTTTTTCCCGAAAGACAAGGCTAGACCGACTTTTTGCCTATCGTCGACGAATACGCGTATACATACGTGCAGGGCGTCTAATTTCTCGTCGTCAAAAATAGTGTTAAAAAATATGAGACGTTGCTAAAGAAATGATAAACTTATAATTTATATGCATTATATATGCTTTATTCTGCTCTCGCATATCATTGGAATGGGCACCGTTATTAATGTGTAGACAGCCTATTGTCCGATAATAATGGACCACGACTAGAACATTAACCGCCCCGATAGTCCACCTATAAACCTAGTTCATATCATCCAAGATTGTGGACGTCCGATGCTTCAGTAAACCGCAATAGGCTGGCAAACCTATTCACGTGTTAAATTTTCGAGCTCGATAACCAAGGCTATTGAGATGTTCCTGAAAATTTAATAACTTCTATAGTACTAAGGGCCTCTATATAGTTTGCTCGGTACATTAGCCTAAGTGTAAAAAAATAATTAAACATTGCTCCGCTATATTCAGTTTACTGCATTACAATTATTTAATATAATTATTTAAATCTCTTCGATGTTATCACGTTTATTTGCAGAGGCAATTAAAAATTTCTTAAAAAATTCGGATCAATTCACAAAGCATATAGGATTTTTTTTCTTTAAAGGCGGAATTACGATGAACTTAACGTAACGGAACGCGACGGGACGCGAAGTAACGTGAAACCTAAACACATTGTTTTTTGATACTTTACGTCACGTTACGTAAAGTCGATCGTAATCAGCCGCATATAAAAACAATGTGTTTAGGTTTTTCACGTTACTTCGCGTCCCGTCGCGTTCCGTTACGTTAAGTTCATCGTAATTCCGCCTTAACTAGTGATTCGTATTACGTCTCTTTAACGTTGCGATTTGCACCAAATCGACCGCGACGGTGTTAACGTTTTGGTTCATATATAGCTCTCGGAGAGCTCTCATATATCACCCGTCGCTTCTCGTTTAACCGTCCGTTTTCCCGTCAGTGGATGAGAACGCTAAGCCGACGGTATATAGTAGGTATAACAATATCGAGCTCCGTCCCGCACACGAAAAGCTTTGCAAGCGGGAACGTAATTTCAAGGTTCTCGTGCGCCAGTTGTATTAAATCTAGAAATTGGGCGTGCTGCAAAACGCCCCGACCGCAGTAACTTCTGTTTTGCGACAGGGTGAAGCAAAAACGCAATTGGGGATTGAGTCTGTCTTGCCACTGCTGGTCAATTTTGAAATCAGCCCGCTTACGTTTTATGTTTTATTGAGAAAATTTGAATAATTGTTACATGTCGAGGAAAATTTAACAGGATTTTTCTGTTTTGTTAATTAAGTTGATTAACATAGTGAGTTTAATAAGTCGCCATTAAATATCCTGGTAATCATATAGGTTGTTCAAAATATCAAGAGGATGATTGATTAATTGTCAAATAATCTTAATTGACAGTTAAACAAAGAAAGCTGGAGACGTTAGGATATCACATTTGGATCCTAATTTAATTATACCAAAAGCCCACGAGTCAGCTTCGTTTACTCGTTCCTCATTTTCTGCAATACGATGTTAGAGCCACCATCTCGCATCACGACAGCTTATTTATTATGCACATGTGGCTTATTTATCTTATTCTACATAGTACTTACACGGCTTACGCGTTATCGAAGTTGGGCCGACGCGATATGCAGCAGTAAAGCAAACTATTGCATAAGTGGAGCTTAAGGCAAGTAGCTCGGGGCCATATTTCGTCAACGCCTTACCGGGAGCACAAATACGTCGGCACGGGGAGAAGACGTGCAGCTGCGAAACTTGTTAACTCTATTACATGGGCGAGGGGCGGGGAGACATAGGGCCCGATTTAATCGCATAATCGGTAAATTGTATATCAAATCGTAAACTGGCGCTTCATTAAGTTACCTGCCGTATCTCCGAGCGTGATCGTAATTACTCTGAGGAACTAATTAGCGCGCGTCGCCGCGACGCGATTTGTCATCGTTTATTGCCTCGGGACGAATACGCTCGCTGCGATTATTCTGCACGTTATACAACAATGAGGGATTCGAATGACGAAGCGTCCCGGCGCATGTGTGTGTGTGTGTGTGTGGGTTGCTTACGCTGTCATGCTGTAAATACAATATAGTACTTGTTTCGTGAAACCTTCATTTGTAACAACTACAATTTAATTATTGTAACCTTGTAAGACACGATAAGACTTCAAAAACTTCGAATAACAAAGGGAGCAATTTTTAATAATTTTGTCGAATAACAAAAATCGTCGAATTCTTTAGTTTAAATTAGTTTAAGTCGCAACTGTCTAGAATAGGCTGTAAATTTAAACAAACATATAATATTGTATTCTTTTAATACAAAATCGAGGTTTTGTGATATTTTCTTTCAGTTCCAATATATTTCCATGTACCTATCTATATTCGCAAAAAAAAGAGGATTGTATTCCTGTACGCGATAGATACCATGTGATGGATAGCAATTTCAACTCTCAGCGGAAGGCGACAAAATTGGATTCGAATAGCAGCTTGCCAATGATGGAAATCAAGATTCAACGATCGAAAAGCAGACTACGAAAATTGTTTAGCATGCGCATCCAAACGTACTGATGCAAAACAGCAATGAGAATGCGGCCGATATATGCGCATTTTACCTGAATGCGCCCCATCGGCGGCGACACCACCAAGAAGATTCTCATCGCAGCCTTGAGGAAGTCATCCTGATTGCGATTCGTCGTGTCCTGCAGAGCGGCCTCGGATATGCTGGAGCTGTTCTGGGTGGTCTTGCCGCGCATCTTGCGCCTTATGCTGCCGACTATCTTCCACCATTCTTGCCCGGTACCGCTGCCGGACGACGACGCGGTACCACTCCCGTCCCCGTGAATGGCCACCGTCGCATCCTGCTGGCCGGTCACTGACGACACCGACGACGATTTCTTCGAGGGGCTTAAATCGCGGCTGGACCGTCGGCTCGGGGTACCGCGGCCACCGTGGGGGGTCCCGGATGCGGACACCGTGGTGCTATCGGCCCCCGCGACCGACTGTTGCCCAGCTGCGAGGATGGAACCACCGCTGGGACTCGTGATGCCTCTTCCACCACTTCCACCGCCGCCACCCGCACCCTTGGACCCGCCGACGATCGAACGCGCCGATCGCCCCGTTCCGCCGCCGCTGCTCAATCGGCGTACGAGACCGCGTATGAGGCCGCTCTTGCGCGCCGTCGGGCCCTCCTCCACGTGCTCGCCCGGCGCTTCCACTCTCTGGCTTAATTGGACACTGTTTATTAAACTTAATTAGACACTGTTTCGGTGAGATCATCCGAGCAGCTGGTTCTCTTCTCGAGCGATCGATCTTTCCCTTTTCTTTTTTTTATCTTTTTTCCTTCTTTATTGCGGTCCTTTTATCGAGGGAAACAAGTGCCGCGTGGTAATTTTTCTATTCTTCCTGGTGCTTTCACGCTGCGCAATTTTTACGGTTGCGCTTTTCCTCGTAGCGATTTTCAGCCGCAGTGCTGTCTCGTCGTAAATTTTACAACCCTCGCCGGTCTTTGCCAGCAAGAAATACGCGGAAACTGATATATACATACATATACATATATCGCTCCTTGACGCTCGTCAAGTGTCTCGCGCTATTCGTGTACTTCCCTCTGCACTTCGTACTGCATCGATTAAGTTTCCAACTGCCGTCCCGGCGAAGTTTCCACTCAATAAACTGCCAACTTTTTAAAACAATTTTATTTTCCTCTACTCCGAGTTGTTCGTTATAAATTACAATGGAATTATAATATTTTTATGTTCGTGCGTTAAATTTCCCGAATGCTTCGCTTTCTGTGGCAGCGTATTACGATTAAGCTGATTGTGCTACAGTGACGCATCGTCTCGCACCGAATTCGATTCGCAATCACTCACGTCGCAGCTCCGAACCAAAGCTCTCGATCGGTGTTTAGTCTTTCTTAACAAGATCCAAATTGGAAGTGTCCACGACATAAAAGCTCTGAACTGATTCTCAAAAATGTTAGATTCTTATCCCTTCTCTCAAAATTTAAAATTTTCTCGAGTAAAATTTCCGAGAATAATCGTTTACAAGTGATAACTCTATTGCTCTGAAAGTTGTTCCCGTTCTATTTCACGAGAGATTATAATAACGCAGCTTCTCTCCGCGGCGACAGAGAGATGCCGGTGATTTTCAAAATGCGTTTTCGTTGGGCAAATATTCTGCGGAAGACTCTTCCATCTTACTCAGCGGAGTTCACTTTCCGGAGATTACGGCCAGCTATTGGTCACCACCTCGAGAGCACGTATTCCTCTCATCGTTTCTAGTTTCTACGAGATATCACGTTTCGTGCCTCAAACGAAGAGTCATATCAGGCGGTTTACGTAGCGAATGATTGCGCTAAGTATCGCGGGATTATCGACACGATTATCAACGAGTGAGCTCTCCCTTCTTGGAGAAATGCTTCTATTCACCGCGCATTTGTGCGCCTCGTCTATCATCTATTATTGCGAATTCTAGCGCTTCTCGCGTGATTCTTCAATACCAAGAAACTTACTTCCACTATTATTCTCTTAATTATTTTCTAAATATTAATTATATTCACAACTTTACTAATGATAAATATGAAAAACATTGTTACTAGATAAATAATAGCGATGTGTAATGTAACTTGCAATGTTACGCCTTTTCGATTGACAAGTCAAAGATCCAAAATCGTTATACCGGAAATTACATCCAACACTCAATCTCTGTTTGCTTTATTACCTCATGAATTCGCTTCACGTTAATCTCGGCAAAATCTACTTGGAAACGTGTAGACATCAATGAGAGCTGCTGATAGTAGTTCGCTCAGGCATGCCAGATTACAAAGGTATATGCATGACGTTATCGAAAGTTCGAGAGCGAGATTCGGATTAACGCTATTCTTGATTTTGCCCGTGATCACGTAATCCTATCGCGCGTAGGCCGACACGCACGGTACGGTGAGTCGAACGGTTGCAACTTTAATTAGAATTCCCTCATAGAATAACTCACTTCGGACCAACAGCACGCTGGAACGGTCGGGGGGAAAATCCGCGGAAGAAATCTGTTCTCTCGCCAGGTCCGGTTCCAAACTGGACGCAAAAGCGCGAGGTTCCGGATTGAGTCGGGTTGCACTCTTGCGCGAAGGTCCCAAACGCGGGAGCGAAAAAAAAACTCCGCTTGAGCCTGTTAATGGCGCAAACCGGGCCAAGGACGTATCGCGTATCTCGAAGGGACCGCGAGGCTAGGAGGAGTGTTATTATCCTTCGAGGAATCGATCGGCGTCGTTTCAAGGCTCACCGTCGGGGAAATAATTTGCCGCGATCCTGCGGGCAGCTTTCCCGACGAGAAGTCGATCGGACGTTTCGCCAGCAATTATCACTCGCTCCTCGCGATGATCGCGTGATATCTCTCGATTATCCGCTCGTCTCTCCTCGATCACCCTTCTCTCTTCTCGACTCCACGCGTTTTCTTCAAAGCACGGGAGCGCATTTTTTAATTTCCGACGACGCCGACGGCCTGATGTAATGCCCGGCATCTGCGTAACGGAATCGATCGTGTCTATTAAGGAGCTTTATTACTAACAGAACCGAGCGCGCCTGATGCACCAGGTAGATGTGTTCAAGTATAGGCATAACGATAGAAAATCAAGTCTCACAGGGAAGATCTTATATTTTAAAATATTGCGTAACACAATTTTATATCACATTATATAATGTGATATTTTATATCACATTATACGAGAAATTTCATTTGCTAATCTCCTACTTTTTACATTTTTAATCTATATCGACTGTAAGGAAATATTAACATTCTTCTCCGACTGTTCCGGACTCTGTTAACTTCTCCCAAGTTAGGTGAGAAAAGCTTAACATGGTGCAATCACTACTTTGAAACGATTAAAATTCATCTGATTAATTATTGAAAAATATGTATCAACGACGCAAGAAATTTTTTATCATTTATGGTTTTATTTATTTTCATAAAAAGAAGTTTTTTTCACAAGATTCTAGATAAGAGACATTTTGGTGTATCATCGGGATATTTAACGTACTTTCACAGGCATCTCTCGGAGCCATTTCTCTATTAATTTCATAGAACGCTAGAGCGAAAGAACATGATCTTTGAAGACGTAATCGTTCCCAACAGCGATGTTTTGGCCCTTCAATTAAACCCCACAGATAGAGGGCAAATCGTGCCGGTGCGACTCAGCCGCCGAATCTTCCTCGGTGACCCGAATTCAACGCTCATACGCTCGATTAATTAGTCTCTACGAGTGGCACCCTTCTCTCTTTTACACGAACATCCTTCTATCATTCGTCTATCTCTCCCTCTTTCTCTCTCTCTGAAACACGTGCGGTAAAATCACATTTCGAAGTTTGAATTTCAAATTACATCGCATTCAAAGCACGTTTTATTTCTTTTTTTTTTTCAATTTTTTTATTTTTTCCACAATTCTACTTGTTCTCGAAATTTTAATTCTTTTGACACTATTTTTGTCGCGTCAAATGAAAAAGCATAGAAAGAGGAAGAGATTAAATAATTGACGACACATAGAATCGTGTTGTATTGTATAAGAAAATACAATTTCACGCAAAATCGTATTTTATCCGATCTCTGTAACCATGCACGGTAAAGTGAGTTACATGTTTATTTCATATATTTCGATAGAATTCAAAGAAGGATTTTCTGCATTACGCGCCCCGCATTGTTCATTTGGTGGTTTAATGATATTAAAATATGACGCGCTGAATATATAATATCAATTATAAACATCGCTACATTTAGTATAATGAGATGAGAATATTCATAATATTCATAGAACGCCTTTACCCTTTCAACTTTCTAATAAATATCTTACAATAGAAGCCATAAATATGTACAACCGCTGCGCGGTTGTATCCTGATTCTATTGCAATCTGAAGATTATCTTTCATTACCTATTATTATTTGCTTGGTTTAGATGGGATTTAAAGCTGTCAATCTAAGTTTATTTATTTATAAACATGGAATATAATCTTCTTTATATTTAATTACAGAAAAAAGCTTTAAATTATTATTGTAAAGAAGTCCATTTTTAATTAGTTATAGAATCTGCAAACGAAAGGATTAATTCTATAGAAAGGATTCTAAGCGGACGTCTTACGCATAAAGCTTATTGTATCCCCTCTGTAATGGTTCAGCATTATTTCAATCCTTTAATCGAATTTTGCACTGTTTGCAATTGATCCTATCAATGCTTTCAGGCACCAGAACGTCCTTTGAGGTGTCCAACACCGCGAATTCTCCGCATTGTCTTACGAAAATGAAGGAATATCGATATTGCGTGGATTATTGGCTAATTCCTGTTCGTTCTCTCTCTCTCTCTCTCTCTTTCTCTCTCTCCTCTTTTCTCCCTCTTTCTCTCTCTCTCTAACATCCATTATCCTTTCATGTCCATTATTCCAACGAATAAAGATATTATTAAAATAAAAATTTAAAGATATAGAATAAAATTCTATTATATAGGTAATCTAAAATTAAAATATACACTAAACTTATTTAATATCAAGATAAAAGGAATATAAAGATAAAATATAAAAATATAGAAATGCTTAATAAACTTATATACTTTAATATGAGTTTACCCGGAAGATATCCGTTACAATCACGATGCCTTGAGCATCTACCTCATCTACACGAGACAGCGGAATGCACGGAATTTGCGAAGAACGACTTAAAGTCTTGCGACGGGTCTTGGCTCGATAGAAGTCAATCTAATCAGGAACGGAATTCGAGAGCTCAATTAAATGCTCGTTGCGAACGCGTGTTTGCACCTAATCGCGCGAAAAGACATGCACACGCATACGCGTCACGCGGAATTCCGTGCGAGTTGCAGACGAGTACTATGACGAACTATTCGATGCACACGGAATTTCAGTATCGCGAGACATCGAGACGCGGTTTACTTGCACCAGAGATTCCCGGCTGGAACTGAGGAATTCGCGATCTGACTTTCGCAAACGGCGAAATTCCCGCAATATCGTAGAGACCTACCGTTGTGGACCTATCATTTACCATCTGCCTCTCTCGACTGTTTCGCGGGTCTAATGAGAAAGTGGGTCAGCGTAATAGAGACTAAAACTTGCGTAAAATGGTCTTTTAATTAAATAAGCTCGCATCATCTTCTTCATTTTTTAATCCTGCGTTTTTTACATTTTGTCTTGAAGCTATTATGTTATGTGCAACTTTTTTGGCCCGTCTGTTGAATGTCTGTTGAACGTCTGTTGGACGTCTCATTATTTACGGTAAAGTTATGATATATATTTAAAAAAACAGAATAATATTTAAAAATCCCACACACGCACACATAATATATCTCATAGACATTATTTTTTATATATTTTTTATATATATATAAAGATCATGCCATGAATTAATTTTTGTTCTTAAATATATGTTTAAGATTTTGTTTTAAATAAATAGTGAGGACTACTTAATAAAAACTATTCGACTCCACTAAACTCTCCAATTGCATCGTTTAGGATAAGCACACCGCTTATCCGCTCTTCGACGTTTATTTCATTACCGATATAGCGTGCGTAAACACAATTAACGCAATTAACGAAATCCGATCGGATTATCAGCTTAAATATCCCGAGAGGTTCAAAATCGCCGAGTTTTAGCTCGCTGCCGTTTATCGATATTTATGTTATTCAAGATTACATCGACGCGCAGCCGATTGTGACTTTAAACAATCTCCTTGCGGTTTCGACCCTTTTTACTGGCCATACGATCCATGATACAACCCACTTCTTAGTTTGCAGTGACGTTTCGCTTTTTCATACCATTAGCTGTGATCACGTGGAGAAGCGATTAAAGGCCGGGGGAAGAAAACGCGGCTTTAAAGAGGCATTTTTTGCACGTGACAAAGACGATCCTTTAATTTCGTCCCTTCCGCGCGAAATCCGCGAGTCATCGTTTGTGATAAAAAATGGAGCTTCTCAACGCAATGGTTTCGTAAGTATCTTCGCATGTTCTTCTTCTGGAGAAAAAACCGTGTAATGATAATCGTACAATGATAATGGCCGTCATCGAATAAGACTTTTCGTCTTTTTGAGTAATATTATGCAATTTTACACTTTTCGCGTAGGTATTAATTTAAATTCTCATATTAATCTATTTTGTACGCCATTGTGATAAAGCTATTCAAATTCGCCGGTGATTGCTTCGTTATCAGTTACGTGAGAGTTACGAGTTACCTCGAGCGTCGCGATAAAGTCCACAGGGATTGAAGACTGGGCGGAATTAATTAGGGTGACTCCGACCAAAGTGTCACCGATGACATGATCGATATATACATTCTTCATCGTCATGTATAAGTTCTCTGCCGTCCCGGCGAATTGTATTGTGGTCCCCCTTTATATGCCGAGACCGTCGTCGATAAAGAAAAAATCTTGGAAAAAATAGAACTGAGGGTAGAATGCATTTCGGCGAGATTCGTCGCTTTTCTTCTCGCTCCGAGTCTCGTAATCGATCAACGTCTTCAGCATCGTTTCTTAATGGCCGCCGAGGGGCCACCTCGCTGCTCCGTGTCGAAGTACGTCGATCTTATCGAGCAGCTCATTCTCTGGACGAGTGTCACGTATCCCTTTCTTTCTCCCCAACGAGGCGATTCAATGGGTACTCTTTTTAGACTGCGCAGAACGCAGCCAATTCGTTTTAAATCAAGTTCTTCTACGTCTATTGAGATTCCGATCTTGAGTTTCCGATGGCTCCGTACGGATAAATTCAGGAACTAAATGATTATAGATGTGTGCGAAAGTGAGTACATCTTCTCGATTAATGGCTTTTCGAGATATCCCTGCAGGCTTTTTTCCACTCCAGTTTTCAGAGAGACAGAGGGGGAAGAGAGAAACGAACACATATTAATTAAAAAATAACAATTATGTTCAGTTTCACTTTCTTAGACGATTTACTTCATTGAAGTCAAAATACATTTTGCAAATAAATCCTTGGTACACTTGATTGTCTGTCGGAATTTTTTTTATATTATTTACGTTGTAAAGTGTCCCGGTTGAAATGCGAGCCGAGAAGTGAGAAACTAAAATAGTCGAGTAATTTTTTCCCCCGCGTGTTGGAAAATTCAGTCCTTTCGCGTAGATACCGGTGGGTGAAAACTCCCGTTGTGGAAGCCGGGGTTGCATCCGCGCAGCAGAATGTAATTAATTCTCGTCAAGTGAATATTTAGGAGCGCGCAGCATTTCACGTGACATTTTGCCACAATGCGGCAGGGAAATGCTCGCGCTGCGTCATGGGCGGAACGCGGTTTTAACGATCGACTTTCAATAGGAGGTTCTTCAATGATATTAAGATTGACGTCGCCAGTGTAAGCATGATGGAGACTCGTTTAAACACGAGCGATATTTCATGAATATGTGCTTATCGTTTTTCTTTTCTTCTTTCTGTTGGCAGCACGGTGGATTTTCGGTTTATTCCAGGGTTTATTTATTGGCATTTTTCAACGATCTCTTTCGACAGAGAATCTTATCGTCTTCT